TGAGGAAGACTGAGAAGGAGGAGGACTGAGGAGGAGGAGGAGGACTGAATAGGAGGAGGAGGAGGGGGACTGGGGTGGACTGAGGAGGATGGAGGACTGAGGAGAAGGATGAGGAGGAGGACTGAGGAGGACTGAGGAGGAAGAGGAGGAGGATGAAGAGGAGGAGGAGGACCCAGGAGGAGGACCCAGGAGGAGGACTCAGGAGGAGGAGGAGGACTGGGGAGGAGGAGGACTGTTGAGGACTGATGAGGAGGACTGAGGACGAGGAGGAGGAGTAGGAGGAGGACTGAGGAGGGGAGGAGGAAGAGGACTGAGGAAGATCAGGAAGACCCAGGAGGAGGAGGAGGAAGAGTAGGAGGAGGAAGCATCTAAATGTTATTTCCATTTTTGTCCGTTTTGTCCGCTCTATTTTTTGTCCGTTTTGAAAATATAGGGTACCGGACAAAAAACATGATCCCCCCATATAACAGCAAAAATTGAACATTTTATTTAGCAATTTAGGTGTCCATTAATGTCCGCTAATGTCCGTATATGTCCGTCTATGTCCGCCTATGTCCGTCTATGTCCGCCTATGTCCGCCTATGTCCGCCTATGTCCGCCTATGTCCTGTCCTTTTTGGATTCTATGAGACAAGCGGACATAGACGGACGTGACACCCCCCTCCCCCCATCATATATACTTATATATATGTATTCTACAAGATCATCTACAAGATCATGCATTCTACAAGATCATCAGTGGGCAAAAGGTTGACACGGATGATGACTCAAACTGCGTAGGACTCCACCTCCATATAGAGCATGGACTGACTCAGAAGGAAAATTTTAACAATAGTGTTTCAGTGTGTATCCTAGAAAATTCAAGTCCTAGTAGTTTAGATGTTAAGGAGCACCGATATATACATGCCTTAAATTCCCTCCGCCCCTCAGGAATGAATAGTACAAACCCTTTTAAGATTCCTTTATTGCATAATTGATTTTTATTTTGTCTGAGGGGCTTTCCATAAATTATTTTTTTAAAATAATTGGTCCTTTTATTGATGTTTCATATTTCACGGCAGTTTCCTTTTCAGAGTTTGAGTTTATATTTTAGAAACTAACCATACTATCTTTTAGATTTATGTCACTTATGATGGCTCCGGCTGAAAGTACTATGACTCATTTTATCTAGAAGATTGTAGTTTCATTGCTTCTGAAGTAGCTATCAGTTCGCCGGTCAATGTTGGGTATAATACTCTTGTGATTTAACCGTTTTGGACAACCTGGCGCTTATGGTTCTGGAGCCCGATTTTTCTCTAGACAATGGGAAGACCCAACCCATTGTGAATCAAAATGATGAAAGCCACCTCTTAGAGAACTCTCAAACAGGAGAAAAAACAGTCTTCCAGAAACTTCAGTTGCTGAAAATGAAACTGAAATTCTTGAGAAACTGCGTGAAATTGAAACGCCCACCACCATCCCTTCGGGTTAAAGGAGCCCCTACTATCCCTGATGCATCTAAACTTAAACATTTTTCTGTACTAGAGACACTGATGTTAGGAGAGGCCATCAACAACAAACTGAATGAAATCAAACACATGGCCTCTGTTTTTAAGGCTGGTGCACACGAAAAAATCCCGTTAGTCCCCTCTGAGGTTAAGAGAACCAAGGAGAAACACCAAAACAAACTTGATTTCTACAAACAACAAGAGGAAACTGAGTGGAAGAGGTGGCCAAGAAAAACATTAAAAACTCTTCAACTCATTGAGGGAAATAAGAAGCGTGTGAATTTTAAGAACCGACAGCAGAAAAACAGAAGACGAACTGAGAAAGAAGCCAAAAGACTCATAAAGGACGGAAGTGTTGTCATCCTTGTGAATGAACCTGTCCCACCCGGGGCTGTGTGTGTACTTGGAAAAGGGTTGGGCTTTGTACCTACACCTTCTCTTGATGTTGAAGGAACAAGATTGGACATGCGTTTAACAACGAACAGGATCCTTCAGTCTTCAAATCAGTCACTTAACAGCAATGACCAGTTTGAAACCCCGAATCTGCCCCAAATACCACCAAAACTCTACCAAAAATCATACTATTCATCACAGTCATCAGATGACAGTAGTGTTAATGATATTGTGAAGAGTATGGAGGCGGACCTTGACCAGAGATTGACCATTCAGAAAACTACAAGAGGCGACACAAAGAAGAACTTGTCAAAGGAAGAGACTGAGGGCCTAAAATGGCTTGAGTGCATGAACAATGAGGGAAAACTATCCGTTGTTCAAGCTGATAAAGGAGGTGCAGTGATCATTATCAACCCAGAGACACTAAGGAAGAAGACACTTGAGAAGCTCCAAAACCCGAATATCTATACTGAACTGAAGGAAGATCTCACCCAAACATTACACCATGAGTTATTCCTCAAATGGGTTGAAGGTAAAGAGAAAGGTTTTATCCATCCGATGACTGCAAAAAGTGTCATGGGTGTTTCTGATAATGATAGCACAAAAGAGGGGAAAGATAAGACCAATGCAAAGAGCACTTCTTCACATTTCAAGCCAGGAAAAGCCTACTTTTACCCGAGTTTGAAGATCCACAAATTGAAGAGAAAAGACCTTGTGCCAGGCATAGAGCCCCCTGTGAGACTAGTCACTGCACTACAGGAAGGAATAGCAAAAAGGAGTGATGTCTTCTTGGCCAGTGAGTACTTCAAAAATCTTGAAAAGGACTATTGCGAAGACTTACTGACTGACTCAACGGACGCACTGAGATGGCTTAAAGTATGCAATGAAGTTGAAACAGACAAACGAGCCCTCCGAGCTTTCACTTTCGACTTCAAAGCTCTCTACGACTCATTAAACCCTGAACTTGTCAAGGAAGCCGTTCATCATGCAATGAATACCACCAGACCAGACTGGACACCAGCACTCTGTGATTGGCTGGTCGACCTCGTTGATATCAGTCTAAGATCCTCTATTGGATGCTTCGAAGACAAGTGGTACGTCCAAAAGAACGGAGTGCCTACAGGTGGAAGTCTGTGTGTGCAGTTGGCCAACATAACTGTATTTTATGTAATGAACAAATGCGTTTACAGTAACACTGACATGATGAAGAGAGTCAGGACTGTAAGACGGTACATTGACGATGGTGCAGGTTTCTTCTACAGCACTGAAAGGAAATTTGACCAGTGGATTTCCGATGTAAACAAATCCTTGAAAGAATATGGGCTACTCATTGACGAATCCCAATGGAAGGAAGTTGGCACGCCTGTGGCTTTTCTAGATATCGAGTTTTGTTTCGACCCTGAGGGAAACTTACAAACTGACCTCCATATCAAGGAAACAGATTCAAGGAGCTATCTACATTTTAGCAGTGCACATCCAAACCACATTTATAGTGGAATAGTTTACAGCCAGTGTATCAGACTCAGGAGAATAATCAACTCACAAGAACGACTGGAAACCAGATTGAGTGAATTAAGCCAAGCATTCAAGGCAGCTGCTTATCCCTCAAAAATGGTGAACAACATTAGCAAAAAAGTTCTCAACTCCGAAAGAAACCTTGAACGAAGACCTCCCAAGGACAACACACTGAAGCCAGAGATCCTACCAATAAGGGTTGTCTCAACCTACGGAAGTGACTCTGACATTGTCACCACAGTGAAAAAGTATGAGGAGAACTTAAAGAAGACCAGAAGTTTTTGTAACCTGAGTGACTCAAAACAACAGAGTAACACCCTTGAAGAAAAGAAGAATGGCAAAAAGTTCTTCCAATTTGTCAAGAAAACAGGAAGCAACCTCAAAAGCCGGTTGGTTAAGGTGAAAGAAATAGCTCTGGGGAATAAGCATGGTCAAACAAGGCCGTGTAGAAAGAAGAACTGTGCAACGTGTGAGTCTATTGATAGTGCTACACAAATCAGCATCAATGGGAAACGGGTAAAACCAGCACCAGGTACATGCATCACTTACAACATCATATATTTGATCAGATGTAAACTGTGTGGGAAACCATACGTAGGCAAATCCACCAGAATGCTACGGGTAAGGTTTGGCGAACACAGAAGAGCATTCTACAAGATCATCAGTGGGCAAAAGGTTGACACGGATGATGACTCAAACTGCGTAGGACTCCACCTCCATATAGAGCATGGACTGACTCAGAAGGAAAATTTTAACAATAGTGTTTCAGTGTGTATCCTAGAAAATTCAAGTCCTAGTAGTTTAGATGTTAAGGAGCACCGATATATACATGCCTTAAATTCCCTCCGCCCCTCAGGAATGAATAGTACAAACCCTTTTAAGATTCCTTTATTGCATAATTGATTTTTATTTTGTCTGAGGGGCTTTCCATAAATTATTTTTTTAAAATAATTGGTCCTTTTATTGATGTTTCATATTTCACGGCAGTTTCCTTTTCAGAGTTTGAGTTTATATTAATTAGAAACTAACCATACTATCTTTTAGATTTATGTCACTTATGATGGCTCCGGCTGAAAGTACTATGACTCATTTTATCTAGAAGATTGTAGTTTCATTGCTTCTGAAGTAGCTATCAGTTCGCCGGTCAATGTTGGGTATAATACTCTTGTGTATATATATGTATTATATATATATAATAAATAAATAAATAATTGAACAAGGTACTGTAAGTGCTTCTAAACTCATGTTTAGACAAAATGTCACTATAAGACCCAAAACTAGTGGCTCACGACATGAAGTTATGGGCAAAAATTAAAGAGTGAGAAAATATTCTGTTTAAATCATTTCTGGCAGAGATCGGCCACAATATTACGTAATTTACTATTTGATAATCTCAACGAGATACTATTTAGATTATCATGCTAATTATGTTAAATTTACTAATTTTGCTAATTATAATAATCATACTGATCATACTAATTATAATAGTTATACTTATTGTACTAATTATACTAATTGCATTAATTACACTAATTATACTAATTATAATAATTATACTAATTTAGATACTTATTATACTAATTAAAATACTAATTATACTGTTTACTCACCACACTGATTTTAATATGGATGCATACGGTGTTACTCCGACTCCAGCTCCAATTGAAACCGTAGTCTTGTACTTGAATATGTCCTGAGATCATAGAATGTAAGGTGAAACTCACAGGTTTCTCGTGAATAATAGCTGATACATTCTTATCAATTATTCTTTGGTTGACTGGTTGGGCTATGAGTTCATTATAGGATATAAAGCAAGTCGAGTTTGCACAGAAAATGTGCAACTAACGTCCGATGGTGTCCCATAAGGTCCATCAACTGCTATCTTAAAGTTAAGCTCTGCTCTCTTTCCCTCTTTGGTAGTCTTGTCTTTAGAATGACCGGCTACAGCTTTCAGTAGGGAAGCTGTATAAATGGTTGGGTTAGACAATATGTTTAGTTTTCTTCAAACTATGTCTCCAAAAACTGAACGAAAGCTTAAAAAGATAAACTGGAGAGAACAGGACATATTAATTGACACAACAATACAATTTACTACTAACACCAGGTAAACATCCCTGTAATAACTTACCTGTCCAGTCACCCGATTTCCTGATATGCACGGAGAGATAGTCCTCTTCGGGAGCTGTAGTTAGGGTGAAGGGATGCCACTCAAATATAGACAACTCACTACATTGCAGGAACACGTACTGGGGAGGGTGTAGTGGGTTTTTATTTTTATTTTTATCGAGAGGTCTGATATTGAGATGACTTGGCAGCAGTTTAGAAACTGTTAAAATAGCTTTAATAACTAGGATTGAGTATTAATCATTTATTTTGTATGAACCATATTAACATGAATTAACTATAGAATATATATGTGACTAGTAGATTCTTCATCACTATGACTACGCGTAATGTTGTGCTGTATTTCTCACCTGGCCAGCATGCTGTTTCCAGCCCTTCTTCCTCATCCTTAGTTCCAGACAAGGTCCAGGATGCTCAATAGCCTTGTACACAACCGCCGGGTTGAACCGCCTTAACCACCATATAAACTACAATCCGGTCAATAGTGTAGATTATCAGGGGCACTCCGGCCCACCAATACGACTGAAGATTTTATGTAAGAGAAGAATAAAGTTTTCTGTGAAGAAAATATACAACATTAATCTCATTACAGCATCTTTAAAATACTTAAATGTGACAAGGAGTTCAAGGACCAATAATTGGTGAGATGAGGAACAATCGAAAAATTATCAGACACACCACGCAGTGAGTCACGACGAGACTAATATTTCCAAAAGAGCCAGACCACAGTTAAACCAACCTTGGAGTAGTTGACATAGCCAGGACCCTTAAAGGACCAGTTAACTCGAAAAAAAGTTATCCTCATATTTTGACAGATTGTGACAAATAGCAAACTGAGCAACGAATCGTAATTCCTAAATCTCTAACTGCTCTCTAACGCGTGTGAATAGCGTTTGTATTATTTTGGCGATGACGTAACGAAGTCCCTGGCGCGCACAGAGGAGCTCGCGAGACTGTATTTTACAGGTAGAAATGGACATGATACACAACTTTAGAGTTAACTTTAGAGAAAATCATAAGTCATTTATCTAAAATTAAGCTGTTAGTGTTCATGATCAACCTTTGGCGACAATGTTTTACGTGAAATGTAAAAATCAGGAGTAATATAAAAAGTGTATTTTTAGACTTAAGTGCTAGCTCATAGTTTAAGAATTATATTTGATTCACGATGTCAATCCTTCGCAGCTCGGTGAGGCACAGTGGTTGCGAGAAGAATTATTTGATGCGCGGCGCGACCCAGTAGTGCATCGCGCTACAAGAATTATATAAATTAACATTTGTCGTTTAGCCATGTCAGAATCAATCGTGCCGTAATATATCAATATGGCCAAAGAATAATAGGGTCTTGAAAATTCTATAGTTGTTCAGTGGGTCGGTTGACCACGCGCGAAGTGCTAGGGTGCATTCTCATTGACAATTAAACTTGGTCAAAGATAATTATACACAATTCCTAAATTAAATCAATATAATCATGTAGATATGAGTATTCAACACTACTCGACAACAAATATTTGTCGGCCCATCGACGATTCAGTTGCCGAAACAAAAATCAAATGTTTGCTTTTTCGTTTCGGGAACTCTTTGAACTCAATATTATATGCAACTAATCATACTTTATAATGGTTTCATCAGCAGTAATAGAAAGCGCAGCTGAGTATAAAAATGTATTTTACAAGCGCGTACAAAATTTGTAGCAAAAATTCCTTGTATCACGTGGTGACCCCCGCTGCCGCTTCACTATAGTTTCGACGATACAGGGGGAGCCGCGCACTCGTGCGCGGCGGGTCATACAATACAACGTATGACAAAAATTCCTACACTGCGAACTTATTTTATTTACATTTTCAGACAACTGTTAGAACCAAATTTATCCAAATCGGTAGATATAATAAAGTTTGTGCCAATTAATGGCGCTTATTGCATTGTAGCGTGATGCGTTGCTCGGCCGCGCCGCGCATCCAATATAATGCTTTTTGCTTGTAGTGGCGTGCGCTCGCCTCCCGGCGCGAAAGCACAATATGGTTAAATGAACTACTGGGCCTCGCCGAGCTGCGAAGAATTTTAATTGCAGACATCGTCAATTAAAGCGCTTATTACATAAACTACATTGCAAAAGTCACATTAACGTTGGTTGTCAAATGTTGTATGACCCGCCGCACATGAGTGCGCGGCTCCCCCTGTATCGTAGAAACTGTATGCTAGTGAAACGACCGTGGGGGTCAGTACGACATGAAAAACGTTGGGGCCATAAAAATGTATAAAATAAATATGATTTGATTTAATTGATACTAAATAAAATTGTTGTCTTCTTAAATATTTCGAGAAGAAAGCGCGCGCTACTTCGAAGAAATTTAGACAAGTAACATCCGTCAATAAAAACATATATAATATGGAATAAAATATTGCCGTCAAAGCATAGTATATGGTGTTGCAATATTTTATAAATGTATTAGAAAGTCCGTGGTCGCAGGGAGAAAATTAATTTTATTTTTTGGTAGTCAGTTCTTAATGCATCAAAAAAATATCCGTCACAATCGAAGATACATCCGTTTAAAATGTAGCTGGCATTGAACATAACGTAATTACTACAAAACCGATAAAAATGTCACTCGTAAATCTTTGCACGTGCGCTTTTGAACACCGTTACCATGGTTACTATGCAGCTCCCTATTTCTCAAAGTATCATAATTATTAAATCTAAAATAGTTAATAATTTAATTAATTATTAACAGGCCCCTTAACGTGGGCAATAACATACGCTTCTCAAAGTAGGGACAGAGCTGTACATACTGGGGGAATGTTTTGACACAACAGCACTGTAAGACTGGATCTTAGCTTGAACAATATTCTCTACATCGGTTTTAACAGTACTCTGGAGCGAATCTAGCTCTTTAGTATTCATGTCAAAAATTTCCCCTTGTAACTGAATTACTGATTTCTGAGAATTAATCATGTCACTTTTGATTTCGTCTAATTTTGTTGTCGCTTTTAGGAAGAGATCCTTATATTCAACAATACCCTGGAACGCATCAAAAATGTGCTTTACTAAAACGTCTTTGTTTGGTTTCTTGAACTTGCCTAATGTAATATGGCTATCTTCATCACAGTTTATTGTCTTCATCACTTCTTCAACCCAACAACCAAGATCATTAGCAGCATCAGGAAACATGCCCTTATATTCACTTGACCACATTGTAGAGTCAAAGTCTACGTTTCCCATTATGTATTTAGAATTGTATAGCGCCAGACACAAAGTAGCAGCTAAGTCGTCGTTGAATTGTAGCGATAAAATATGAGATAAGAGAGCTTAATAATCAACGAGTAACAAAACTACACACTACACTCATTAAAATAACCAATTAAATTAAATTTGTTTTACTAAATCTTTGTTTTACATAATAATATGTAAATCAGCTGTATTAAAATAAATTTTCTTGGTTTTCAAGTTTTCAGCTTATTAACTATCTGTTTTTTCGTTCGAGACTATTTGTAGCTACTCTAGATTTGGTAAGGTTCAAAAATTAATGTAAATGAAAATGTTCCAATCTCATAAAACAATTAGTTGAAAGGTAAATCAAATTTTAAAGATGATTTTTGTAAAGAATATCTTAAATGATTTATTGAACTATTCCTAATCAGTCCATTACATAGGATGAAAGTATGATATACTCTGTGTACATAATCAACAAAGCAGGGGGATTGATTTATGACGAAGATTTCTCTTGGACTAAACATACTGAAGAGCATACATGGCAAGAGCATCCTATACCTTTAGTCTTCACCGGTGATACTGGAAGAGTACTTGTTAAGTTTGGGGAGGTAATTTTAGTATACATTTAATATTATGATATCATACATTTTTGTTTTCAACTTTCAATATTTCCGACATATGTCAGCGATCATGCTGAAGAAATAACGTTAAGCTAGAAACTGTCAAGTTCCACCTCATTATGCCGTGGTCATGTTACCCAAACAATGAACATGAACTACTAGTTACAAAATAATAAATGAATTTGCTTTCAGCTTGGCACAATAAAACCAGGATATTCAGTGATAGCTGTTAATAGACAACCAGTGACTGGTACTATGGGGCCCACAGAGAGGCCTATCGTGGAGATGATTAATGATCCTGAGTGCTATCCATTGAGCCTCACATTTGGCAAGTCAGTCATAATATGTTAATTGAATTGTACAAATTTGCTTCATAATGAACAATACATTTTCAGTACACTCCAATGTAACTTGTAAAATAAATATTTGACTTGTTGTTTGTGTCACCTAGTCTAGGGAGCATGAGCAGCTAAGGATCCAATGGATCTACGCGATCTCCTCGGTTGACTCAGCCTAATGATAGGAAACTTGATTGAGGGTTAAATGAGGAGGGGTACCTGCTAAAAGATCAAGAATCTTACTAGGATACCCCTTCAGTAAATCTACATTGTAGTATACTGTAAACATAGTACTATTACTATTACTATTACTATTACTGTCATCATGTTGTACGAATCCCCTTCAACAACGAATCCCCTTCAACAAATTTAATCCAGTGTTCTCGGCCCACAGGTTCCTCCTATTAAAAAAAAAAAATTTTGAATTTGGTAAATGTGTGCTGACTCCACCACCTATGTATTTAACCTAATATTTAGTGTATTACAGGTAGACATTGACTTAGGTAGGTATTTTTCTCTTAAGGTAGATATTATTAAGAATTTGGTAAATTTCTTAAAGGACCAGTTAACTGAAAAAAAAGTTATCCTCATATTTTGACAGATTGTGACAAATAGCAAACTAAGCAACGAGTCGAAATTCCTAAATCTCTAACTGCTCTCTAACGCGTGTAAATAGCGTTTGTATTATTTTGGCGATGACGTCATAAAGTCCCTTGCGCGCGCAGAAGAGCTCGTGAGACTGTATTTTACAGGTAGAAAATGGACATAATACAATGTTTTTCCCCGAATAACTTGAAAAGTAAGTAATTTAGGGTACATGTTGCTTCATAAGTTGTATATAAACATGGCCATTCTGCACAATTTGCACGCATTCAAAAAACCTTTAGGGCCTTCATAGCCCAATTTACCAGATACCCATAGTTTTGCATGATTTCTGGAACCGAAAATCAGTTTTTCGCCAATAACTGAAAAAGTAAGCACTTTAAGGCATATGTTTGTTCGTAAGTCATTTGCGTAAGTCATTTGCAATTGCGGTTCTTTTGCACCCTGTCTAAAGACTCTATCACGATCCTATCGAAAATGGGCTCAGCACCACGCCCAAAATGGTTTTTGGCGAATTTCTCGAAAAGTAAGGATTTTAGGCCATGTGTTGCTCAATAACTCCTACATAAACATGCATATGCGGCTTCGTTTAAGCCTATTTTGAAGTCTCTACGACCTTCAGAAGCAAGGGGTCGGTTACGTTATTGGGTCAATATGGGCGTGGCCCTCCTGGGTTTTCTCCACGGTCAAAAAAATGTCTCCAATCGAAAATCGTTTATTCATACCTTCGGGAAGGTCTGTGCAAAGTTTCGTGAGTATTTGAACATTTGCAGGTTCATTTCCATAAATGTCCATAAATGACTGGACTACACAACTTTAGAGTTAACTTTAGAGAAACTCATAAGTCATTTATCTCAAATCAAGCTGTTAGTGTCCATGATCAACCTGTGGCGACAATGTTTTACGTGAAATGTAAAAATCAGGAGTAATATAAAAAGTGTATTTTTAGATTAAAGTGCTAGCTCATAGTTTTAGAATTGTATAGATTAACGTTGGTCGTTTAGCCATCTAACAATCGATCGCGGATCGTGCCGTAATATTATATGGCCAGAGAATAATAGGGTCTTGGAAATTCTATAGTTGTTCAGTGGGTCGATTGACTGAACACGTTTGCACTTGGTATTTAAACTTACCAGTAGTTTATTTATGTTATGTACCGATGATAATGCAATTAGGATAACAACTAGGTAAGCTGTAAGTCTAATTCAAAACACACCGTACACTCCAATCAGTATTACTATTTGGTAGACCCGAGACCGGGTATTTTGGCGGGAATTCTGTTCCCACGGCACTGTTCTGATAGAAGCTACTTCTACTAATGGTCCCAGAGGAACGGCCGTAAAGTAGCCAGACTTCTTGTCTCCTGTACTGGCTGACACATGCAGATTAAAGTTATAAATTTCGCTATGCTATAAATATAATTGCTCTCGGAATTGAACAAACTCCTACTTATCTAGATCCTTTCTAAATTCGTTAGAGTTTCATGGACTGGGGAAAAATAATCGGTACAGTCTCCCTAGCTGCTTGTGTAATTAAGCAATGAAAACAATCCAAAATTATCACATATGACATAAGTTGTAATAGCAGAAACTTTCTAACCGTACATTCACCCGCCACTGTTCAAGAACCTATATCACTGTTTTAAATCATGATGTGAGCACTGTACATCCAATCAGCTATTCCTTTAGTTAGAATGATAGCCAAAACTATAAGGATTTTGGAGAACTAGGGTAATAGTCATAATTCTAAAATTTGAGTGAGTTACACGTGTTTTATTGACGATGATAAACATTTGTAATGTAAATTACGCTATGCAAGCGCGCACTGAGGGACTTTATGACGTCACGAGGCCACAGCTTATTATTGCAATAACACGCGTTACACGTACGCTAGAGAGTTGGTTCTTTCGGCGATACGATTCTTTACCAGTTTGTCACAGCTGATTTAAATCTTAGCCAAATTGGAGACTAGATTCCAGATTTATATATTTTTTAAGTGATATTTAATAAATGATTAAAAGAAACAATTTTAAAGTTGCCATAGTAAAGCCTTTAGGTCCAAAAATATACCCATTATGCTCACTTAAAAACAACTCTAAATCAGTAGGCTGTCACTCTATTAATGCACCACACCGCTTCCTCCACTGCACTAAAAGTTATACAATAAATTCTACAATCCTAATTTTGTATCGTGATGGAGACCGGTGTCCATACAAAACATTTACTAGGTTGCCGTTTGGTGTGAGCAATAGCGAACAGCACGCACACTCCTTTGCCCCGTCAACCTATATCTAATCTATTTAAAGAGTGACAACCATACTACACATTGAATTAGGATTCCTTTAAATATCAAATTGATTTATTGTAAACTTGTTTACTCTGTAATAAATGGCATAAAATTGAATTTTTGTTTAACTGAATTTTTGTTTAACTGATACTTTTCGACAGTGTTTATGTACTAAATGACATAAAAATAATTGAAATTTCAGAGGAAAAGTTGGAGCAAACGAAAAACTTATGTTAGCGAGCATGTTTCATTCCCTGTTTGCAATTTCCTCTAAAATCTCACCTATTGAGGGTAGCTCTGGTATTCAGCAGCTCATCACGGATGAATTTAGTTTGGACTGTTTTCAGACAATAACAGGTAAAAGAATTGATTTTAATTGTATTTAAGTTTATTGTTTATTGTTATAATATATAATAATATTAGTTACATGAGTTAAAAATTCTAAGCAAACAATGTAACAGGAAACTTTCATTAATATAAGGATATTAACTGCAATTTTTGTTTCAGGAGTGAAATTTTTTGTGATAGTGGACCACAAACAAACGGCATGCGAGCCATTACTGCATAGAATATACGAGTTATACACTGACTTTGTCCTCAAAAATCCATTTTATCTTATTGACATGCCTATAAGATGTGACTTATTTGATCAGAACCTAAAACGAGTTATAGAGCAGGTTGAAAGAGCTAGTGCATACAGCAGTGCTACTTTAGCCTGAATCTTACTTCTTCAACATAAGTTGAAATATTTTTAATGGAGCAGAGGACAGATCAAATTGAGAAGATAGAGAACTGATAATGTTAAACTTCTTTCTGTTGTAGCTTATTTTCTGTTATGACCTGTTTATGGAAATGAGTTATCTAAGCTGAGTTATATCAGTTCATGATTTGAGATGATCATGTTAACTTGATTTTATGTTCTGAAATTGGAAGTTTACAAATTGAATTGTGTGACATTGAATTCTTGATAAATTGCTTTAACTTTTTGGTTGCATGTTATCGATCTACTTAGTCTTTTAAGAAACTTAATTTTCATGTAAAGTTCTAGCTGGTATGAATTTGTTGAAAAATGCGTGTCTAAAATTTAACTATTCAGAACTTGCATTATAGGTAGATCAGTGTTCCCAATAATTTATTGTCTCGATTAAAATTGTCTGAGAATACTTCTGAAATATAACACCTTTAACTAAACCATATCATAATGTAAGGTGCGATTAGTCATGTCTTACCCTACCATAAAATGTGGAGTGAGTGAGATGCCAGTAGTTGGACTGGGGACCTGGCAAAGTAAGCCCGGTGTAGTTGGAGCAGCTGTAGAGACTGCACTCAGTGTTGGATACAAACACATCGACTGTGCTCATGTAGGTTTTGCGACTTTTTGCTGCAATTTCATTCAATTCTTTTAGACTTTGGCATCCAAATTTTTTAAGCACAAAGCTCATTAAAGTCTTAATATTGTGTCACCGTGTGATCCACTGTAAGTATTTAACCAATTTTAATTGCGGACTCTTAGGTTTATCAGAACGAAGCTGAAATTGGTGAATCTTTTGCAAAGATGTTCGGCGAGGGTGGAATAAAGAGGGAGGAAATATTCATCACCAGCAAACTCTGGAATACATTCCACCGGGCCGATGAGGTGATTTATTCAATTAATTTGTTAAATAACTAAAAGATTATATATTTTTGTTAATTCAATTGTTAATTCAATTAATTGTGCTCTGTACTGAATAATCGTCCTAGATAGTAAAAATTGACGGTACAATTATCTAGAACCAACGTTTTGTTGTTTACAGGTTGAAGCAGCATGTGATACAACCCTCAAAAACCTACAACTCGAATATCTGGATCTGTACTTGATTCACTGGCCGGTTGCTCTGGAACCAGGCAAAGGGACCCTGTTTCCCGTGGTGGGTACTTGTTTTTGAATTGCGGAATTTCTAGTGTTTTTGATTAAAAAGTGTGTTTATTTCATGTTATAAAAAGACACGATGCCGTGGCCGTGCACCTAAGTCAAGGATACTAAAGGTATTAAATATTAAATTCTATGATATTACGATCTGCCTCGTAGCTCGTACTTACTGAAAGAGCTTACATAAAAATAATAAGATTGTTTTTAGGATGATGACAAAGTTTCGATGATGGACACCAAGTCCCCATCATTCGCTGAAACCTGGGGAGCATTAGAAAAACTGGTTGAATCGGGAAAGTGCAAAAATATTGGTCTCTCCAACTTCAATATTGCTCAGGTAATCTTTGTGATGTGGCCTAGATTTAGAATATGTTAAATATGACTGCATCAATAGATCAAAAATGTTTTATAATGATCTCGTAGTCCAATATCTGTCAATCGTTCATCATAATAAAAAGACTTTAGAAACACATGCATTTTTTTAGATCGAAGAAGTTCTTGGCTGTGCTAAGATCAAACCCGCCAACCTTCAAGTGGAGTCCCATGCCCATCTACCTAATTTGGAACTTCTCGATTTCTGCAAGAAACACGGCATGTCCTTTGTCGCGTACAGCCCTCTAGGTAGCTTTTATTACATTTTAGACGTTCAAATATATCGAGTATTATAGATTTTTTTGATTCACCCAGTATGGTTCTACTTCAAGATAGCTTCAAAAATAAAATCTCCTTCTCCATCATGTAATAAAGTGTAGTTGTGGCTCTAAAAATGACAGCGTTCATTTTATCCAGCTCCACGACATCCTACCTGAAAATATTTAACCCTTATTCAACTCTCTTCCGAACCCTAATCACACTCACAACCCTCACCATAACACGTACACACAGGTAACCCTCACCATAACACGTACACACAGGTAACCCTCACCATAACACGTACACACAGGTAACCCTCACCATAACACGTACACACAGGTAACCCTCACCATAACACGTACACACAGGTAACCCTCACCAGGACACGTACACACAGGTAACCCTCACCATAACACGTACACACAGGTAACCCTCACCATAACACGTACACACAGGTAACCCTCACCATAACACGTACACACAGGTTACCCTCACCATAACACGTACACACAGGTAACCCTCACCATAACACGTACACACAGGTAACCCTCACCATAATACGTACACACAGGTAACCCTCACCATAACACGTACACACAGGTAACCCTCAACATAACACGTACACACAGGTAACCCTCACCAGGACACGTACACACAGGTAACCCTCACCATAACACGTACACACAGGTAACCCTCAACATAACACGTACACACAGGTAACCCTCACCATAACACGTACACACAGGTAACCCTCACCATAACACGTACACACAGGTAACCCTCACCATAACACGTACACACAGGTAACCCTCACCATAACACGTACACACAGGTAACCCTCACCATAACACGTACACACAGGTAACCCTCACCATAACACGTACACACAGGTAACCCTCACCATAACACGTACACACAGGTAACCCTCACCATAACACGTACACACAGGTAACCCTCACCAGGACACGTACACACAGGTAACCCTCACCATAACACGTACACACAGGTAACCCTCACCATAATACGTACACACAGGTAACCCTCACCATAACACGTACACACAGGTAACCCTCACCATAACACGTACACACAGGTAACCCTCACCATAACACGTACACACAGGTAACCCTCAACATAACACGTACACACAGGTAACCCTCACCAGGACACGTACACACAGGTAACCCTCACCATAACACGTACACACAGGTAACCCTCAACATAACACGTACACACAGGTAACCCTCACTATAACACGTACACACAGGTAACCCTCACCATAACACGTACACACAGGTAACCCTCACCATAACACGTACTTGCAGGTAATCCAGGCAGTGTTTTCCGTAAGGAAGACCAGGTTGATCTGTTGCACGAGGAGGAGGTTCTGAAGATAGGTCAGAAACACGGAGTTACCGCTGGACAGGTCCTCATTCGATACCAAGTGGAGAAAGGTATTGTGTAGAAAAACAAATTAGATCTACCTGTAGATTTTTATTGGAAATAAAAATAAAAATTCTTTGCCCTTATGTTGGTCAATAAGATCTGTACCTTTATCTTTTCCCAGGCAATGCAGTGATCCCAAAAAGTGTCACACCGTCCAGAATTGAAGAGAACCTCAATGTGTTTGGTTTCTCTCTTGATGCCGCTGATATGGAAACTCTGAATAACCTGTACAAGAAAGCTGGACCTAAAGGTTATCGCACCTGCAATGTTCTTCATTGGCAGAATTCGCCAAACTACCCCTTTACTTCTGAGCTTTAGAGAAACTCATGACTCTGTCATGTGCTTTAAACTAGAATTTAAGCTAGCATTTATTTTATATTATTATGGGAAAAAGCATTAGTTTTTAAATAATTAAGATTATAACATTTTTAACTTATCCTACATCAAGGCTACTTCTTTGATTGTCATCGTAGTTTTACTTTGACCGGGTTTAATGCCCATCATTCTCTGAAATTAATAATCATTTTTACCGGGTTATTACCCATTATTTTCTGCATTTTTATCAGAAATTTGAGATTATTTTTAAAATAGGTATAATTGTGATTAATTGCATCTAGTTTTGTTATCATGTAGTAAGAAAACTTTGAAGTGACCAACACTATTACATCGTTTTATTTAGTAATTATAAATACGGTCCACAATTAAGATATTATCTGGACATCTTTATAATTTACGTTATTACATACCCGGGCATGCCCGTATAAAAGGAAGATTCCGTATTGATAGCAAGATTTTGTACTAGCACGATTACCATCTCCTTTCTCAAAGATTCAATCCTGAAATTGAATTCCAATTTGAAACTTAAAGTACCAACAAAATTTCAATTTGTCAGGTATCCACTGCATTTTTCAGAGGAATTAGATAATGGCGAAGGATAATATAACCTAACCTGTTAATTTAAAAGATATCAACCATTTCAGAATGTCTATTTCAACAATAACATGCGGAGTAAGCCAGATGCCAGTTGTAGGATTTGGAACCTCCAAAACCAGTGATCCCCAAGCTGCTGTTGAAATGGCATTGAACACCGGATATAGACATATTGACTGTGCTCATGTAGGTTTATATTTTTTGTTATTCTTTCGAAAATGTTTATTGGGGCCAGAAAATAGAGCGCTGTCCAGTGTCCACGTATTATAAACCAAAGTGAAGGTAAACTAAAAAGAGCCTCGCAGACCGTTTTATCAAATTTGATGTCAATAATGCTCATGTTTAAATCCAGGTTTACCGGAATGAGGTGGAGATTGGTCGTGCATTCTCTAAAACCTTCGCCACTGGTGATATTCAGAGAGAAGAGGTATTCATTACCGGTAAACTATGGTCCACTTCTCATCGGGGCAGTCATGTAAGTGTGTTCTTAAGTGGGGTGGGGGTGGGGGGGGGAATAATGGAATAAAATGGAGAATTACTCAAGGGTTTTTCCATTTTCTCCATAGAAAAAGTTTTCATTTTATGCAATTTTATGCCATTGGCCCCCCCCCCCCCTGGAAAATAGTTTTGTATTATCATTTGAGAACTTTTAAAATATAATTTCGAACAATTATTCATCACAATTATACTCAACTTTTTTATTGGAAAACTTTGCAAAAATAAATGTAATAAAATAAATTTAGTAGAATAAATGTAATAAAGGATAAACAAAATTAGTGCTCACAAAATAAAAAGACTCAGCGCTAAAAGACTAACGATTACAGAAAAATAGGACAGCAGACTATTTTACTGATATGCGATATAGGACACTCATTATTAAATTATTACATTATTATATTATTATAATATTATCATAACTGTTATGGGAAATAACAAAAATTTTTCAAATATACTCCCTCATTCAATTATGATGGGATCTATAATTGTTGTAATTCTATTGAACTACGTTTGAAGCCCGTTTCTTAGGAGTTATAATGGATAAAAAACTGAACTGGTCGCAACATATTTCTGCCATGAAAATGAAAATGGCCAGATACATTAGAGTCAATAGTCATGTACAAACTTAAAAAATATTTGCCTCTGGAAGCACGTTTACAAATATATCACAGCTTTGTGCAGTCTCACCTTAATTACTGATCCCTCGTCTGGGGTTTTGCTGCCAAGTCCCATATAGAAAACAACAAATGGGTCTTAGAGCAATACTACCAGGTTTCGTTAATTACTGGTACAAAGATGGTACTCCACCATGACCAGTAAGTACCAAGTCCGGTTTCTATGTACACAAAATTTAACAGTTCATAGTATCATCATAAAGAATGCATTAGTCTGAAGTTGAAAAACTTCCCAAGTCTAGTGCCTCCCTATATAAAGAAAACGATACCTAACAGTGCACCAATATTTAAAGTCGCCGATCCGGATTCGAGTCTTATAACTCTATGGTCAGATGAATACGGTAAACACCCTTACAGTTACAATAATTCGGTATTCTACAAAGGTCCACTATTAGCAATAAACAGATATAGTGTCGCACTGTCGCAGCAACTTCTTTGCCAAGTCTCAACCGTAATGCTGATAAAAACTCTGTCTCAATACCATAAGCACGCCCTCAAGCATCACAAAAGCAATTTCACTGCATACCATCTCAGTTACACTGCCAACAATTCACCAGCAACAACGGCATGTTGCTATCATATTTTATGCCATTGGCTCCCCAGTCCCCCCCAACGGAGCTGTTGCTTATCTTGTTTAAATCTATAATGTTTAATATATTGTTACAGGTAGAGCCTGCCTGTGATAAGACATTATCTGATTTGCAGCTTCATTATCTCGACCTTTATCTGATTCATTGGCCTGTCGCATTTGAGCCTGGCAAGGGTTCCTTAAATCCAATGGTATGGTTATTTTTTTAAATCTTTGCTAAAAATGACCTAGATAATATTCAGTTCACTTGATAGTTTATTTATCATATTGTTCTATATTTTATCCACATAAATGTATTAAGTTAAGCACTTTGTGTTGTTACAGCATAATTTCTCTCAGGATGATAACAATGTAAGGTTGATGGACACTCAATCTCCGTCCCTATCGGAAACCTGGACTGCAATGGAGAAATTGGTGGAGTCAGGAAAATGCAAAAATATTGGTCTCTCTAACTTCAATATACAGCAAGTAATTCATCATCTTGTTTCCCTAGAGAAGCAATACTTTTTAAATGGTTGTTGTTAGTTATGAGGTCATTGTGAAGCGATCAAAAATTGGCAAGACAGTGTATGTTAATATGTTTCTAAGTCTTCTGAAGAAATCAAAACGCTTAGAATTAGTCTTCTTTAGTTATTCTTGTTGTCTATTCATAATATCGAACAAAAATTTTGAAATTGTTTTCATACATTGAACTTAACTTATTATTACAAAAATTGATTTTAATGCATCACGTCATCATTATCAATAAACTTCAGATAAAAGAAGTGCTTAAAAATGCTACGATTAAACCAGCTTGCCTTCAAGTGGAATCCCACCCTCTTTTTCCAAACTTGGAGCTTCTTGAGTTCTGCAAGAACAATGACATCGCTTTCGTTTCTTACAGCCCTCTAGGTATTTCCAGACATATCTGTTCTTACTGTTGCAGCAGATTCTGCTTATAAAACTTTGACAAAAATCGCTCAATTTTTTCAAATACCCCCTTGCCAACTGTCATCATCAACCTCTTCAGGAGCCCCGGGAAGATCATGGAAGAAGGAAGACCAGTTGGATCTGTTAAATGATGAAGATGTTCTAAAAATAGCACTCAAACACGATGTGACTGCTGGGCAGGTTCTTATTAGATACCAGGTTGACAAAGGTAAGTGTGCTCAGTGATGGTGATAAAGTTCTGTCATGAAATACACGCCGCCATATCATATTATTTGATGTCGAATATAACTTGTGATTGATGCCTTTTTCGGAATCACCTTTTTTAAGCCTGTCCAAGACTTAGCATGTTAATTTGTTAAATGATTTTTTAATGACTCAGGAAATGCTGTTATCCCTAAAAGTTCTTCTCAATCCCGAATAACGGAAAACTTTAATGTTTTGGGCTTTTCTTTGGATTCCACTGACATGGGCTGCCTGAATAAGCTTCACAAGAAAGCCGGACCCTACGGATACCGTGTTTATCTGTGCCCTGATTTCAAACACTCTCCGCTTTACCCATTTCCTTCTGAGATTTAATATGGGACTTTCAGTAATTCTGTAGAATTCCGATCGCAAATGGTCTGTTTATTCCAGCCTCCAGTTTTAATTCCATCCTTTTGAAGTTCTACCGACAGTTTTTGTAAATCAAGTGAGTATAATAGATATTCAATTTTATTAAATTATTGTTAACAAATTTCAAAACACTTTCTTAGTTTTTAAATGAATTTATTTTAAAGATTCGAATAAAGAGTCATTCATATCATTTTAAACCTTTATGTGATTGTAAATTTGGCTTTTTATCCGCAGAGTTTATATTTATAACTTTATCAAGTTTCATGATTTCACCAACACATCCTTGTTGAAATGTTGACAGTTTTTGGCAGTTAGTTATTTATTTCAAAAAATTCTTTAAATCTTTGGTTAATTCTCTCGTTTAATTGCAGCACGCCTTGATGAGATTAAAACTGCTATGAAATGCTCGATTCTACATTATTCAAAAATCTTAAATATCACTCGCTAAGTTGTATACACTATACAAGTACATAGTACTGATATTGTATACTGGTAGAACAATTCTTTTCTATGCAAAATAGAAAGTGAACTGTATAATATATGATCACATTAGCAAACTTGAAAGCTGGAGACAGTGGCCTCACTGAAGTTCTGTGGTGTTGTCTGACCGACCATGTCTATTCCAACAATACCGTGCGGAGTAAGCCAGATGCCAGTAGTTGGGTTTGGAACGTCTCGAACTAAAGATCCCAGAGGTGAAGTAGAGATGGCTCTGGCAGCTGGATACAGACACGTTGACTGTGCTTACGTAAGTTAAACTATTTCCTGTCAATCGTTATCCCACTGTGTTACTCCTTGGTGGAAGTTAAAATACCGTCATCTCCATGACACTTCTTATTCCAAACTAGCATCACCAATCAGTGTTACGATAATGAACCAGAGATTGGCCAGGCTTTCTCCAAGATGTTTACTAATGGCAGTATAAAAAGAGAAGACATGTTCATTACAAGCAAACTTTGGGGCACCTTCCAGAGAGGTCATCTGGTAAGTAACATCATAAGATTAACTATTCACGTTCTGGATATCTTTTCAGTAATGACCTTCAACAAAGATCAATTGCTTTATTCCGTTTACAGATGATATTTTTCCTGTTTTAAGGTTGAGACTGCATGTAACGAAACACTATCTAATCTGCAACTGGATTACCTGGACCTTTACCTGATACACTGGCCCATGCCACTGGAACCTGACGATAAAGGGGGCTATGATCCTGAGGTAAATCAAGTGTTTTTATACTTCTTTAGCCTTATTATCGTTTATTTTGTAGTTATTTTCCACCTCATTGTCCCTCTTGTGCTCATGAAGCTTACATACAGCACACACAAAACCACTATCCACTAGTACATTCTTATCTTCAGAGTAAGATTGATCCGAACCCCCCGCCGTTTTCTGAGACCTGGGCGGCAATGGAGAAGTTGGTGGAATCAGGAAAATGCAGAAACATCGGTCTCTCTAACTTCAATATAGATCAGGTTATTTATATATTATGTATATTATGTAATATCTATCTTATTACAACGGTTATTAGTGAATATGATTAACTCGGTCGTAATGTAAATGTTCTGTATGTAAACCAAGTTTCTTTACTAGTTTCTTTACTAGTTTCTTTACTAGTTTCTTTGAAATAGTTTCTTTACTAGTTTTTTACAAGTGTCTTTACTAGTTTCTTTACTAGTTTCTTTACTATACTAACGATTAAAAACGTTTGCAGATACAAGAGGTTTTAGATTGTGCTAAAATAAAACCTGTAAACCTCCAAGTTGAGTCCCACCCCCTCTTTCCTAACACAGAACTTCTTGAGTTCTGCAAGAAGCATGGCATATCTTTCGTCTCATTCGGCCCCTTAGGTATTCACTTTTAACAATTTTAAATAAAATAGCGAAACAGCATGAATAACAATTAGTTTAACTAGCAGGAACCCGTCTAACCCTAAAATGGTGTCAAGACTCAAGAGACTAAAACAATTATTACCTATTTAATTCGCGTTTTTGACACCACTTGGGGTACCAAATTTTGGGCTCTAAAACTCCTATTTCTTGGCCAATTTTTTATTTTTTCACGCTGATTTGGAGGCCATTAAAGCATTTGACCCAGTCAAAAAAGTTTCAGTTGTATATCTTTTACGGTTTTTGCAGAAATTATCGTTAAAGTTGATGCCGTGGTGTCAGTAAAATGGCACGGATAAATATATATATATATTTGAGACATTCAGTGAAACAGTAAAACACGAAATATATATATATATATATCGTCTCGCTTTATATATAGTAAGATGATTATTGATGAAATCATTTTTGTTACTATGACTTCATCCTGCAATGTAAAAAGTAAGATAATGTTGATGAAACATACCCAATTCTTTTAGATTAGTTATCTTTATGTTTTTGTCATTGTAACATACAGTATTCAGGAAGTCCAGGAAGAACGTGGAAGAAGGAAGATCAGATAAGTTTGTTAGATGATGAAGATGTTCTAAAAATAGCACAGAAACACAATGTGACAGCTGGAAAAGTACTTTTGAGATACCAAATTGACAAAGGTAGGTAAACACTAAACAGGCCCAAGTTATACTGATAAGGTGAAATCTTTCAAAGATAGGAGACATTTTTACCTAGGTAATTCGCGTACTTATTTTACAGTTCTTTTTATTTAACAATGATTGGTTAATTAGTTTCCAGAAATTGATGACATCAAATTTGTACAGGAAATGCAGTTATTCCAAAGACTGGCACTCTTTCACGCATGAAAGAAAACTTGGATATATTCAGTTTCTCTTTGGATCCCTCTGATATGGACTGCCTGAATAACCTTTACAAAAAGGCTGGACCTAACGGATATCGCATATTTAATTACCTTCGTTATAAACACTCGCCCTACTACCCCTTTGCTTCAGAATTAAAAATCTAAATCTAGAGGCTTTGTGGTATGAAATAGATAATTCTGTTCGTTTAATTTTTCTGTCAATATTTTTAATCAATACAGTCTTTTTATAACATTTTATGGGTCTGAATTAGATATAATTTTTAAAATGTTTGGGTTAAATTTCTGAATTTTTTGTTAATTTATGAAATAGTTTTTGATCGCACCATGTTTTATATCTTTTAATTTTTACTCTTTTTACGTCTAAAGTCGGAAGTTTTGTTTCATTACATTCTCAGACCCAGAAAAAATTAATTTTAAAGAAATTTCAAACCTATGGATAAAACTCATTTAAGGGTCAATGTTTTCAAAATGTACAATATCTTAGTACACTCTACGATAAAATGAAATAACTGGAACCACTATTGAGGTATGATGTCCCGAATATACGAATTATTATACATTCTTAACACTAACTTGTAGGGTGAATTCTTGAAAGAGGAAACAATTAGACAATATGAAAATGTATTATGAGTGTATTCTGTAATATAATTGCCTGCAGGACGCGGGTTGACACAGCATGGCACTGCATTTATTTCGTTCACAGTTCACATCAAGCCTAAAACAACTGACGCGATCTCTCTCTGGAATTTCCATCCCCTCCATAAAATGTGGAGTGAGTGAGATGCCAGTAGTTGGACTGGGAACCTGGCAAAGTAAGCCCGGTGTAGTTGGAGCAGCTGTAGAGACTGCACTCAGTGTTGGATACAAACACATCGACTGTGCTCATGTAGGTTTTGCGACTTTTTGCTACAATTTCGAAGTGTATTGTGCGATAGGGGGGAATCCAAAAAGGACAGGACATAGGCGGACATAGGCGGACATAGGCGGACATAGGCGGACATAGGCGGACATAGGCGGACATTAATGGACACCTAAATTGCTAAATAAAATGTTCAATTTTTGCTGTTATAGGGGGATCATGTTTTTTGTCCGTTCGGTACCCTATATTTTCAAAACGGACAAAAAATAGAGCGGACAAAAACGGACAAAAATGGACAAAAACGGACAAAAATGGAAATAACATTTAGATGCTTCCTCCTCCTACTCTTCCTCCTCCTCCCCCTGGGTCTTCCTGATCTTCCTCAGTCCTCTTCCTCCTCCCCTCCTCAGTCCTCCTCCTACTCTTCCTCCTCGTCCTCAGTCCTCCTCATCAGTCCTCAACAGTCCTCCTCCTCCCCAGTCCTCCTCCTCCTGGGTCCTCCTCCTCCTCCTGGGTCCTCCTCCTGGGTCCTCCTCCTCCTCTTCATCCTCCTCCTCTTCCTCCTCAGTCCTCCTCAGTCCTCCTCATCATCCTTCTTCTCAGTCCTCCTCCTCCTGGGTCCTCCTTCTCATCCTTCTCATCAGTCCTCCTCCTCCCCAGTCCTCTCCCAGTCCCCATCCTTCTCCTCCTCCTATTCAGTCCTCCTCCTGCTCCTCCTCCTAAGTTCTCCTCAGTCCTCCTTCGCATTTCTCCTAAGTCCTCCTCCTGAGTCCTCCTCCTCTTCCTTCTGAGTCCTCCTCCTGAGTCCTCCTCCTCCTCCCTCTCAGTCATCCTCCTCAGTCATCCTCCTCAGCCATCCTCCCCAGCCATCCTCCTCAGCCATCCTCCTCAGTACTCCTCAGTCCTCCTCCTTCTCAGTCATCGTCAGTCCTCCTCCTCAGTCCTCCTCAGTCCTCCTCCTCCTCCTGGGTCCTCCTCCTCCTCCTCCTCTTGGGTCTTCCTGGGTCTTCCTGATCCTCCCCAGTCCTCTTCCTCCTCCCCTCCTCAGTCCTCCTCCTACTCCTCCTCCTCGTCCTCAGTCCTCCTCATCAGTCCTCAACAGTTCTCCTCCTCCCCAGTCCTCCTCCCCCTCCTGGGGCCTTTTCCTGGGTCCTCCTCCTGGGTCCTCCTCCTCCTGGGTCCTCCTCCTCCTGGGTCCTCCTTCTCCTCCTCAGTCCTTCTCCTCCTCCTCCTCAGTCCTCTTCCTCCTCTTCCTCCTCCTCCTCCCTCTCAGTCATCCTCCTCAGCCATCCTCCTCAGCCATCCTCCTCAGTCCTCCTCCTTCTCAGTTCTCCTCAGTCCTCCTCCTGAGTCCTCCTCCTCCTCAGTCATCCTCCTCAGTTCTCCTCCTCCTCCTCCTAGGTCCTCCTTCTGGGTCCTCCTCCTCCTCCTCCTCCTGGGTCTTCCTGATCCTTCTCCTCCCTCTCAGTCATCCTCCTCAGTCATCCTCCTCAGTCATCCTCCTCAGTCATCCTCCTCAGCCATCCTTCTCAGCCATCCTCCTCAGTACTCTTTAGTACTCTTCAGTACTCTTCAGTCCTCAAAATGTTTGTCCGCTAATGTCCACCAATGTCCGCCAATGTCCATCCAAGTCCGCCAATGTCCGTCCGGGTCCGCCAATGTCCGTCCGAGTCCGCCAATGTCCGTCCGAGTCCGCCAATGTCCGTCCGAGTCCGCCAATGTCCGTCCGTGTCCGCCAATGTCCCAAAAAACACGTCCGTTGTCTCATAGAATCCAAAAAGGACAGGACATAGGCGGACATAGACGGACATGACACGGCCCCCCCCCCCCCCCCCCCCCCCCCGATAGGGCTATAGCCTATAAGGGGAATGACTGCTCATATTGGTGATCCTTTTTATTAACACAAATGAATATAATATTTCTGTTAACCGGTCAATTACCAGTCAATTACCAGTCAATTACCAGTCAATTACCAGTCAATTACCAGTCAATTACCAGTCAATTACCAGTCAATTACCAGTCAATTACCAGTCAATTACCAGTCAATTACCAGTCAATTACCAGTCAATTACCAGGTGTACGGAAATGAACCAGAGATTGGTGAGGTGTTCTCCAAGGTATTCAGCGAGGGTGTTATCAAAAGAGAGGATGTGTTTATTACGAGCAAGTTATGGAACACTTTTCATAGGGCTGAAGAGGTGATCAATCAGTGTCATTATTGTTATAGACCATTTATTGTATTTTAAATCTTAGATCTCTGTTTTTTTAAGAGTTTGTTATGTTATATTTTATGAACATAATTCCATTCCTTCAGGTAGAATCATCGTTTAATGAAAGTCTATCAGATCTTCAACTAGACTACCTCGATCTGTATTTGATTCACTGGCCAATTGCTCTTGAGCCTGGGATGGGGAGTCTGTTTCCTATGGTGAGAACTGGAATTAGACTGAAACGTTTAAAAAAAGTTGATAAGTCAGTGCTTTTTATCTTAAATGTTGTAAGAAAAACATATCAGGCATGTCATAATGTCTAATTAATCATCAGATAGATTACTATACTAAAAGCACCTATCTATCGACTATGATCTTTCCTTTCAGGATGAAAATCAAGTATCAATCATGGACACCAAATCCCCATCATTCGCTGAGACATGGGGAGTTTTAGAAAAACTGGTTGAATCGGGAAAGTGCAAAAATATTGGTCTCTCAAACTTCAATATTGCTCAGGTAATCTCTGTGATGTTATCTGTAATTTGGCAGCTACCATGAAGCCACGCAATAGAAATGTTTAAATCATGTTGGTGTGCTTGTTTGAGTATATCAAATACAATATCGATCACTAGAAAACTGTTAAAATGCTTAGATCGAAGAAGTTCTGAGCTTTGCCAACATCAAGCCAGCCAACTTGCAAGTGGAGTCCCATCCCCATCTACCTAACTTGGAACTTCTGGAATACTGCAAGAAACAAGACATTTCTTTCGTCGCTTACAGCCCTTTAGGTGAGTAAAACTGTGTGGTTATTATTCATTATGTGACATGAATAACGATGACATCATTCTCAAAATATTTTGATGATTTTGTTCAAGCTGCTTGTTGTATTCACGAACATAGTTAGATTTTACAAGCTTGTTTAAATAGCTTATTGAAGTATTTTATCGAGATGGGTGGCTTTAGAAATTCCTATATGAATTAGAAAGTTGTACAAATCCGTCGGGACCTAACTCCTTACATCCATTATTGCAGACATTAATTGTAAAAAATAATACAAAATTTAATAGAACAGAGTTTGCACAACGTTTAGTCTCGAATGAAGTATAGAATTTATTAGATTATGGTGGTTAAATTTGGTTTTTAATAACTTAAATAGCTTTTATATTTCAGGGAATCCCGGAAGTGAATATCGTCACAAAAAGCAAGTTGACTTGAGAGAGGACGAGGATTTGGTGGGAATAGCAGAGAAACATGGTGTCAGTACTGGACAAGTCATGATCAGATACCAAATAGATAAAGGTATTTCTTCAGATACAGCACGATGTAAATTTGCTGTCGGGTTGTTCGTTTTTGCTGGATCGTAAAGAAAATAAATACCACGTGCCTTGAGCAGTGAGAACAGTCGTATCGATTAAAAGTTTGGCTATTTATGAACTTCCTGGCATTCCGTATACAAGATAATATTTAACTTTATTAAAAACCACCCCTTTTCTTACTCTGTTACTCCTACTCCAGGCAACGCAGTGATCCCAAAGAGTGTGACACCGTCCAGAATTGAAGAGAACCTCAATGTGTTTGGTTTCTCTCTTGATGCTGATGATGTGGAAACTCTGAATAACCTGTACAAAAAAGTTGGGCCTAAAGGCTGGAGAACCTGTGCTGTACCTCACTATAAGCATTCACCTTTCTTCCCTTTTGCTTCTGAGATGAAATGATGCTGCTCCTTGCTCTGATTGAGAACTGTATTTGTCTCTTGAACAATTTTTTATAATGCAAGTTAAGTCAACGTTTGATTAGGCGATTGCGAGTAATTTATTCATCTTTTTATAGGGTATATTTTGTTAGTTTTAAACTAAATTAGATTACAAATTTGATTTACATAGTGATGATAATGATAATGATTCTATAATTGATTGCATAAGTCATAGAATTTTCCGTTTTTCAATAATCAGCTGAATACCAATTGGCTAATCTTAAATTGTGTACCTAGTTATTCAGATTTGAAAAAGTTGATTTTGTTTTATGTAACTTTTCCTGTTTTGACTCTGATTTAGTTCATTTGAATGGAAGTCAAAGCTTTTCTTCGAGTTGAAATACAATGCATACTACTCCCACCATTCTGACAAGCAGTTTTAAAATTCTTCCTAAAATGGATTGTTGAAATGTGAGCTTTACCCGCAATTGTGGGTGTCATGCAGGTTTGAATCGTCTTCGGCTTTCCTTTAACCAACGAAGTACTAAAGTAACACTGAAATTTATTTTGACCGAGTGAATTACAAAACTTTCAAAAAGAGAGTATTAAGCAGTTTCCATTATTTTAGAATGGAGAAGGAAGTAGACAACGCTCTATCAACCATCCTCCAACGTGTGAACGGGGTAAGATTAAACTCATTAAACAAGAGACTTATCAGTTCGAAAGAAATAATACCCGTTACGCTTGTCGTGTCCAGAGTTAAAATATCTTAAATTGTTTCATAATTAATTATAGTAATTATAGCACGTAGCTTGTAAAATGGAATGCTTGTTACCAGAATTTAAACGCAACAATATGTTTAACCTTTGCGATTGCTTATTTTGCTTTGCTTTCAAAACAAAACTGAAGCGCAAAACGTTTATTTAACTGCTTTGAAGCTTTGAAAATGTTCTGTCACAAGAGTTGAAAATAACGTTCTGTCCAGGTGAAGGGGTCACTGCAGACCTTCATGAGAAAGTTGGAGTTGGGAGGGGTTATTTGGCCAGATGTTAATGAGAACTTTACCACGCTAGCTGGACAGCTCAACTTCCTACAGAAGGCCCTTACCAAAGAAGATGTGAGTTTTTAAACAGAAAGATGACCATCTGCATCACACTTAGTCTAAATTCAATTATGTCTCCATTTGTGATGTTTTTCAAAATCGATAGATTATAAATTTACATGTTAATTCTAGTTCTATCATCCTCCAGACACCCCAACTACAGAACCTGGTGCTACTACCACTGCTAACCAGCACAGGAACAGGTCCTGATACCACCCTGGAGCAGCTTACTGAGGGCCGGATACCCTACCTGGCTCAGGACAGTCTCCCCAACTACCTGAGGACCAAACTTGATCTGGAGATCGAGAAGAAGGAACATTTCGTTTCTACTGAGGTAATATGATCAGTTATAACTTAACTTTTTACTAGTTATAAAAATCTTATGCCTTAGTAATAGTATGTACTCGGTGATTATAGTATGTGATTATATAATCTCTGTATAATCCTCCTTTAACAAACTTCACTGTAACATTTTCAGGTGAACAGGATATCAGAACATAACCTACAACAACAGATATGCGATCTTAACAATCTGTCCGATGCATTATCAGGTATGTTCTGACTTTAAAAACCAGTTAGAAACGTCAAACGTTTAATCGAGAGAGTTTTCACAGTGACCAGCGAGTAGCGATGAATTCTGTTGGGATGTTCATTATAAAACAAACCTAGTTTTCATGTCAGAATTATCGACACAAATATATTATTGTCTATTATATACAGAGCCACTCAACTGACAGCGGTTCTTTCAGAAATCATCCAAACGTCACGTGACTCATGGGACGAAGTGAATCCCCACCCGCGGTTACCAGAAAACGAAAACAAGGAGCTGGTGAAACTAATGTCTGCGTTGGAGACCGGAAAGGGGCTGAGGAGTAACAATAGGAAGAGAGGTTGAGGAGTAACAATAGGAAGAGAGGTTGAGGAGTAACAATAGGAAGAGAGGTTGAGGAGTAACAATAGGAAGAGAGGTTGAGGAGTAACAATAGGAAGAGAGGTTGAGGAGTAACAATAGGAAGAGAGGTTGAGGAGTAACAATAGGAAGAGAGGTTGAGGAGTAACAATAGGAAGAGAGGGTGAGGAGTAACAATAGGAAGAGAGGTTGAGGAGTAACAATAGGAAGAGAGGTTGAGGAGTAACAATAGGAAGAGAGGTTGAGGAGTAACAATAGGAAGAGAGGTTGAGGAGTAACAATAGGAAGAAAGGTTGAGGAGTAACAATAGGAAGAGAGGTTGAGGAGTAACAATAGGAAGAGAGGTTGAGGAGTAACAATAGGAAGAGGGGCTGAGGAGTAACAATAGGAAGAGAGGTTGAGGAGTAACAATAGGAAGAGAGGTTGAGGAGTAACAATAGGAAGAGAGGTTGAGGAGTAACAATAGGAAGAGAGGGTGAGGAGTAACAATAGGAAGAGAGGTTGAGGAGTAACAATAGGAAGAGAGGTTGAGGAGTAACAATAGGAAGAGAGGTTGAGGAGTAACAATAGGAAGAGAGGTTGAGGAGTAACAATAGGAAGAGAGGTTGAGGAGTAACAATAGGAAGAGAGGTTGAGGAGTAACAATAGGAAGAGAGGTTGAGGAGTAACAATAGGAAGAGAGGGTGAGGAGTAACAATAGGAAGAGAGGTTGAGGAGTAACAATAGGAAGAGAGGTTGAGGAGTAACAATAGGAAGAGAGGTTGAGGAGTAACAATAGGAAGAGAGGGTGAGGAGTAACAATAGGAAGAGAGGTTGAGGAGTAACAATAGGAAGAGAGGTTGATGAGTAACAATAGGAAGAGAGGTTGAGGAGTAACAATAGGAAGAGAGGTTGAGGAGTAACAATAGGAAGAGAGGTTGAGGAGTAACAATAGGAAGAGAGGTTGAGGAGTAACAATAGGAAGAGAGGGTGAGGAGTAACAATAGGAAGAGAGGTTGAGGAGTAACAATAGGAAGAGAGGTTGAGGAGTAACAATAGGAAGTGGGGTTGAGGAGTAACAATAGGAAGAGAGGTTGAGGAGTAACAATAGGAAGAGAGGTTGAGGAGTAACAATAGGAAGAGAGGTTGAGGAGTAACAATAGGAAGAGGGGCTGAGGAGTAACAATAGGAAGAGAGGTTGAGGAGTAACAATAGGAAGAGAGGTTGAGGAGTAACAATAGGAAGAGAGGTTGAGGAGTAACAATAGGAAGAGAGGTTGAGGAGTAACAATAGGAAGAGAGGTTGAGGAGTAACAATAGGAAGAGAGGTTGAGGTCTCAGACCAGCGGACTATCAAGTCACCAGTTCAAGAGAAAGATTTCAGATTATCCGGCATAATCAAGAAGAGGCGTTTACAGGTTCAGATCATCCGGATTAGAGAATTTCTATATAATATGTGAGCTGTGTTCTGTTAAAGATCGTGATGTGAGAAATCGTGAACGTTACTTTGTGAACTGTACTTGAGTGATGTACATTTCTATGATTTGCCCTTGCTTCACAATATTTGTTATAATCATTTTACGCATCACCTATTTCATTTATTTAATATCTTAATCATGAACCAAATTGTTTTGTAACATTCATAACATATTTATGTTGATGCGTTGTTACTTTAGGTGATACTCACACTCGTCAAATAATTTTAGCTGTTGCCCTGCAAAATATTGAATCTTTTTACGAGCACAAATTAAAATAGAGAGACATATTGTGTGGCAAGCTTCTTACATAATTGAGTGTAACTAATGATTTATTTGATTTTCTCATTAAAAGAATGATACAAACTAATGCTTTACTCCTAGCAAAAAATCATATGGCTCCCAAAGTTTGTGTACCAGCAGATTTTGGTAGACACCACATTGGAGCACCAAGTCATGGTAATCTTACCTTCAACCTAGGAGAGGGAGTTCAGATCAAAGCTAACTCCATTATACTGTCCCTGAACAGTCCTGTTATAGATGACCTGACAACAAACCTTCACCTGACGTCACTAGAAGCTGAGGACTTTAGCAGGGAGGCAGTGGACTGTTTTATTGAGGCTACCTACACAGGAGAATTGGAGGCAGTAAATGTAGGGAACTTCAGAGACGTTACCAAGATGAGTCATTTGTTCCAAGTCGATTGGCTTGTTGCCAGATGTGAAAAGTATTTTGTGTCATACCTGAATAAACTAGACAGTGAGAGTAGCTACTCCAGCATGCTGTTTGCTGTGGAAGAGTCCATACATTTGCTAAAATATCGAAATAAAAGAGATTTCTTGAACTTGGTTGTCAATAGAATGGGTTTTGTTTCTGTTCTGAAACGAGCAAGCTTTATCAAAGAATATCTGAGTGACTTCGCAAACTCATCCAAATATAAGATCGATGCCTGTATTGCAATTATAAGATCAGATATTCATGTTTTGATAGAGATGCTGATATTACATTTGGAAAAACAGGGCACCATTTCCCTTGATGACAACACAAGGTATCTCTTGAAGAATGTCGACTTGGCTTCGTGCCATGATCAGACACCTGACCTTCACACCAAACTTTACTCTGTTTTAGCAAACCTTCAATGTGTCTGCAAGGAAGATTTTCAACTGTTACTAGCGATAGCCAAACAGGTTACTAGTAGGTCACATGCTAAAAGAGAAGGAATTTTGCATTCAAGTATATTCTTTTCTGCCAGTGTTTTCCCTTACTTGAAGTGTTTCGATCAGTGCGTTAAGTTAGATGATGTGATAAAGAATTTAGCTGTGAATAAAGATACCATAAATCTTTATTCACTAAGTATTGATGGGCTATTATATCGATTATATCAAGGCAACGAACCGATTCCTAAACTGAAACAGTTGCTACAGAATATCGCTCTTGAAAAACGTGAGCGTGAATGGTCCGGGTTGGACTTTGATTATGTTGACAATCTTTACAGTGCTGAAAACACGTTGGGATTCGTTACTGCTCTGAAAACATGTAACCGACTAGTCTCAAAGAATGTAACATCATCTAAAATTATCATTTTTGACTATGTTTCTCCTGATGATTTTGTCGAGGCAGTTTTCCTGCAAAACATTTCATTTACTATTGAGGTACCATATCCAAAGTATGCAGATCGACAGTACATCGTAACAACCACAGCAATGAAGGGGGGAGACCCAGACACATTCAGCATGAAATATGGTTTGCTAGATTCAGATCAGGGATTCTTGCTAGACTTACCAAAACTCCACTTTGCTATTGAGATGGTGGAAGCTGAAGGGAGCTCTTCTTCACGCGTATTACCTTTAACATGGTGTGGTAAACCAACTTGCGACAAAACAAAGACATATTGGAACTGGGGCTACATCAAGTTTCATAGCTGGAAGTTTAAGAAATTAGACATGATTTGTGGCAGTGAGGGCCCTGTTGAGTTGAAGAATTATGTTTCTGTGATTGACGGATTCAAGTGCCGACTTGTAGCGTTTGTGATATCATAGATATTTTAAATTATTTTATCTGACTCCGTTAACTATTCAGTGTCCACTTTATCTTAACAGTTAAATAGTAAACCGACTAATCAATTATATTATACAAGTTGTATGGTTGTATTTGATCAATGATCCATTTCATTTCCGTTTATGTCAAATTTACCCAATTACTGAATTTAGATTTTTGCGTCGACTTTCCATTGAGAATTTTAAATGAAGAATCTTATTACTGTAATATCAAAGCTGATAGTACTTATTAGCATTCAGTCATTATTATTACGTGATTTGTAAATAGAATCGTTAAATAAATTAATAAACTGACAGATATTTTGTATTTATTTTACTACATTTATTTATTAAAATTTTACAATATTTTGAGGAATTATATTGTCGTAATTATTCGCCTCTTCTTTGAATATTAACGTACTACCCTAAATAACAAAATTGTTCAGTTGGTTCTGAAATACGGGTTCCATTCATAAGTGGGTTCTAATGAGCATAATTTGTACATATTTCTCCATAACAAGTAAATATTTTATTGTCTTCTTGATCATAATTTATTGACTTTCAGGATAGACATCGATCATGGCCCCAAAAGTGCGTGTACCGGCAGATTTTGGTAGACACCACATTGGAGCACCAAGTCACGGTAACCTTTCCTTCAACCTAGGAGAGGGAGTTCAGATCAAAGCTAACTCCATTATACTGTCCCTGAACAGTCCTGTTATAGATGACCTGACAACAAACCTTCACCTGACGTCACTAGAAGCTGAGGACTTTAGCAGGGAGGCAGTGGACTGTTTTATTGAGGCTACCTACACAGGAGCAATAGAGACAGTAACTGTAGGAAACTTCAGAGATGTGAACAAGATGAGTCGTGTGTTTGATGTTAGTTGGCTTGTTGCCAGATGTGAGGAGTACTTTATGTCGTACCTGGATAAACTAGACAGTGAGAGTAGCTACCCTGATATGCTGTTTGCTGTAGAGGAGGCTGTTTATCTGCTGTCTACTGTAAAGAAAAGAGATTTCCTTGAATTAGTTGTTAAGAAGATGTGTATTTTATCTGCTGGAAAAAAGGATAGCTTTATGAAGGAATATTTGAGCGATCTTGCAAAATCATCAAATTTCATGATTGATGCTTGTGTTGAAATTGCCAAACGTGATGTCGATGTTTTGGTTACTTTGCTGTTAGCTCATTTGAAGAAAAATGGAAACAGAAGCCTTGATGAAATGAGCAGGCATCTTCTAAGAAATATTGACATGCAATATTGTTTCAAGAAAGAGCCTGATCTCCACACGAAATTGTTGGAAGTCCTAGAAAATCTTACTGATGTTACTAAAGAGGATCTTAAGCTTTTTCTGACTTTTTACAAGCAGAAGTCGAATTCTTTGGAGGAGTCCCTTCCAAAAGAAAATAAATGCTTGGTACCAGTTGCTAGATACGGCCCGTTAGTCGACTCTTTGCTTAACTTTAAGTCTAACACATATGGAGATTGGAGATTTAATGAAGCATTTGATAGGCTGAAAAATAGTAGAGAAGACATCGATAACTTGTACACATTTATTGAAGGGATTTGGTGTATTCTGAGTTATACAGGGACGAGAATGTGCGCTTTTGGGCACGATGCTATTGTAGATAAAATCATAGGTATTAAGGAAGAGCGTTGCTGGGGTGAGATAAATAAAGATTATGTTGACAGAATGTTAACAAAAGAATTTAAAACAAATTATTTTATGGTAGCTATAAGAAACTGGACTGGTGGTAAGCTTGTCTCCACTTCTCAGGACAGTTTTACAGGGACTGTATTTGAATACACTGGTGCTGATTTTGTGAATAAAATATTTCGCAAAGACAACTCGTTTACCTTCCATATACCTGGTCAAAAGAGTGCAGATCTGAAAGTTGGTCTCTTCACTACTGCTATGAACGACAATAATGCTGCTGCAACATTTGATATGCAATGGGGTTTGTTTGATACTGCTGCCAATTCCTCTCTCAAGGTCCTTCCAAATCTGCACTTCGTTCTAGAAAGGTCGAAAGATCATGAGAAATGGGAAATACTTCCCCTGACTTGGTGCAACAAACCAACATGTGACAAGTCTGGGCAATACTGGAACTGGGGATACATCAAGTTTCATGAATATCCTAACTCAACTGATCCGAAA